AAGGAGGGCCAGCAAGTGACGGTTAAAGCAAGTTTGCTGAAACTGCCCACCTACCCAGCCGAGAATCCCTTGGACAGTTTTGCAGTCTTCTACCTAAAAATGTCACTGGTTTTACACAATGTGCACAGACCCTGTCTACTTAGCTTTATCCTGCCCTTCTGTCTAAATCCTCTTTCTCTTTCTACTTACCATTCAAGGCAGCACAGGCTTTGCCATGGACAGCACCCTTGGCAAGCACGTGAAAACAACCTGGTGCAGAGTGAAAGGAGAAGCAAAATGTGATGTTTTTGTTTAGAACAAAAATCTGATTTCTTGTGTGAACCCACTGCTAAATATCCATGAAATGCCCCTCCTTTTTCTTAGTCCCTGGGTTACAGGGTCCATCACAGCTCATTAGACAGACAACAGACAGTGCCACACTGGTCATGTGGTTCTGTCCTGCCAAGGACAGAACAAGAGGAAATGGCCTTACTCAGAAATACAGTGAGGCTGAGAGAGAACTCCTTGACCTTGAACAAACCAGAGACACTGCTGGGTTCCTGGAAGAGGGGCGGAATTACCTTTACTAGCAATTTCAGAAGAAGAAAAGATTTAGCCCATGTGCCGGGGGATGAGGCTGTTGACCCTTGAGAAAGACGGTTCAGCACGGCGGCACCGCAGACCTCTTTCCATCCCCGAGGCAAACGGCCTGTGCTCACAGTTGCTCCTGGGCCCAGTGCTGAATTCCAATTTTCTAGTGACTTGAAGAACATAACCAGATCTCCCTGGCTAGTTGCCCTAAGTAGATTCATTTATGTAGTGCTATTCTGATCCTTCGAGAAAATTCCTTAAATAGCAATGAAGGAAACTTCTGGAGTCCAGTGAACCTGCTGGCCTGCACTGCTTCAGGAAAGGAAAGGAAGCTGCTTTTGTGCCACTGCTGCTGCCACTCAGAGGAGCTCACTAAAAGCCACATGAGAAAGGCACAGTCTCTCATTTCAGTCTCTAGCATTCCTCATCCGGCAGACAAGAGAGGCAGGAGACAGAACCACGGCCAGAAAATTGCCCATAAAAAAACTCCATCCTCTGCTTATGCGAGTTAGAGAAGACCCTACTTTTAGAAGCTAACCCCTCAGCCACTGAGCAGGGCCAGGTCAGCCCCAAGTGAATCCTGCATGTGCATCTGCTCTGAGCCCAGATGGGGGGTCAGGGTGGAGAGGTTCCGTAGCCACTGTCCCTCCAGTTTCTGCCCCAGGACTCCTGAAGTTACCCACAGCGTTGGTGAAGTTACCCACAGCGTTGGTGAAGTTACCACAGCGTTGCCAGCCCTGAATTTCACCCACCCAGCAGGCATCTCCACTGTGTACATGGGCGGGCACACACACACACCCGTGATAAAGACCAGGTGCCAGCTCTCCTCAAAGCAGCAGAATGTAAGGTTTTTCGGACCCCCCTGCCTTCATCACTGCAGGGAAAACTGGATAGAGTGCAGGTAGGTTTCTGGTAAATATATAATCACAGTCATGAAAACCTCTGCCAAACCACAAAATATTCTTCTGCCAGACCTGCCTGATTTAAGTCGAATTTAAGCCAAGGCACTTTGTGCCCTGACAGATTTAAACATCCCCTAGCAGTCCCTTGCATGGGAACCTTGCCCTTTGGCCTCTCATGGGGCAGTTCCCACAAGACTTCCTTTCCATACAGGTGCAGTCTGCAAACACCCTCCCCGAGAGCATGTTCTCTAGAAAGACTCCCAAGATGGAAATTACAATGCGATACATACTTATCATAAGCAAATAATGCTAGGGCCCTCAGGGAATTGTCCTCTTCCCAAGCAGAGGCGGCCTCCATCCCAAGGGCTTCCTTCTCCCAACAGACCCATGTTTATTTTTCTTTATTACTCAGCCAAGCTCAAATAATGGTGAAAACTGGTTTGTCTCTCCAATAGCCACCCAGTTCTGACTCCCCTCTGGCATACCTGGGCCTTCCTCCATCACAATGTGTAACTCTCCATTCAGGCCTGCACTCCTGTTACAGGCCAGGCACTGGGTGAAGCGTGTGCTAACTGGGATCTCTGCTTCTCTCAAAGCACAGAGCTTGTGCATTAATGGGAGCAGGACAGTATAGTCACAGGGTCAGTTGAGAATCCAGGGGACAGGGAAACACAAAGCAGCAAGCCTTGGTCAATGGGTCATCTTCCCCAGAAGAAACCATCTCTGCCCAGAATCTTCCTACCTCTCATTCAGCAAGACTCCCAGGCCTATGAAGTCTGGAGCTGCTCCAGACTGAGGTTACAAGGTGACAATGGCCTGTGTGGAGTGAGCTTGAGAAGAACTGTTCACAGCAGAAGGTATTTCCAGAAGATCTTGGTCCTTGCACTCTGTCATGGAAAAATCCAAGCAGAACATGGAGTGTAATTGGGGTTTATTAAAAGTTAGGGAAGGGAAGGGAAATATAGGTGGAAGCCAGAAAGCAGAGAGCGTACTCCAAGCCATCCCTGGGCGAGTTGTGGGCAACCTACACACAAATACAATATTAAATCATATATTTTCTATAGTCCAGAACTTTCCCTAATTCTAGCCTGCCTCATAACCACACCATGTCCAGCTACCACCTGTACTAAAAACATCTTGCTTATTTGGGTGCAGTGGCTCAAGCCTGTAATCCTAGCTACTTGGGAGGCAGAGATTGGGAGGCTTAAGGTTCAAGGCCAACCTGGGCAAAAAGTTCTTGAGGCCCTATTTTAATCAATGGCTGGGTGTGGTGGTATGCATCTGTCATCCCAGCTATGTGGGGAAACACAAATAGGAGGCTCACAATGCAGGGTAGCCCAGGCATAAAGGGAGCCCCTATCTGAAAAATAACTAGAGCAAAAAGGGTTGAAGGTGTGGCTTAAGCAGTAGCAAAGGCATTCTAAATAGGCTTCCTGCCTCCATCTAACCTGCTCTCCTTCACCCCACTGCTTGCCGCCATCTTGTTATAACGCCTTCCATTTTTTAAGTACTGGTGTCCTGTGTTTGCATGTGATTCTGTGTGACCTGACTCCTCTCACCTCTTTGGGATCCTCTCCTGCTCTGATTCATGCCCTGGCCCCTCTCAAGCTGTTCCTATGACTGAATGTCCATCTTGTCCTTCACACATTGTGCCCCAGCTGGCACATACCTCACCAGCATCCAAGATTTTGTCCAAGCATGACTTCTGGAGGCAGCTTTTCCTTTCCTCAACCCATGCTTTCTCTGCTTCATCATGTTGGCCACCCCTTCCTCTTGCCTCAGCCTGCCCCATACAGACTTGAATTATAGCTCACTTTATTATACTTGAATCCTTTGTTGATAATCCATGGGGCTTAGCTAAAACCGTGACTTATCAAAATTAGCTGTGTCCGGCCCTCTGGACCTTTTCATGTCAAAGATCAAATTGAAAGTGATTGTGGTAATACCGATGTGGTCCATGAGACTTCTTCTGAAGGAGATCAGTACATCTTTAACACCCACCCAAAGCCTAACCACACCAGGTTAAGAGCTCTGCATGAAAGCCCCTTGGTTAATATTGGCTGAGTCAATTAGCTTGTCTAAAGGGTTAAGATGTTTTCGGAACGAGGCAAATAAAGATCTTAGAAATCAATGAAATGAATGGTCAGAGAAGAAACATAGACTGTGACATCAACAGGAGGAGAAGTTGGTGGATTGCTCACCCAGGCGGTCAAGGCCTCCTGAAGTGCACCTGTAGGCCCTGCTCTGTCCCCACCCCAGCAGGTATGGTCTTCCTCATGCCCCTTAGGTGCCTGTCATCACGTTCTTTAGTCTGTTACTTAGTTTTGTATCCATCCTTTCAGTGAAGTATAAATTTTATGTGGTTGAAAAAAGAATCTTTCTCACTGTAGTTCCCCTGCCTTTACCCATAATAATTACTCAATGAACGCCTATTACATTGAGCTAAATTTCCTAATGGCTATGGGAAAACCAGGTTCCCGATTAATGGTAGAAAGGCAAGAGTGTTTGTTGTGAAGATGAGTGACTCAGCCTGCTGGATACTGACTAGAAGGAAATGTCCCTTCTAGTAAACCCCAGAAAGAACCCTTTTTGTTATTTCAGGGATTCATAAATCGGATGATCCTATCCTAAATAAAGCTAGGTCCACTGTCCTCAAACCCATTTAGTTGAAACTTTGCATTGTAAGGTTGGTGTGTAGGCTTAGACACAGGTCAGAGGGAGAACCGAAGAGAAGCAGAACGGGTGGAACTGCATAGGAAGAGAGGTGCTCAGTTCTGTGCAGCAGGGGCAGGGCCCCAGTGAGCAGCAGTGCAGGCTGGGGAGGGCTGATGTGTGCAACAGGAGCCCAAGGCGAGATGTTGAAGGGTGAGACCGATCACCCTACCAAGCATCCCCAGGATTCGCCAGTGTTGGTGTCAGCAATTCCTGTATCTGTACCCAGTTCCTGAGAGAAAATATAGAGAAGAATCAGTCATTCCTAAGAGCAAGTGAACAAATATAACTTCCTGATAGCCCCTCACTCATGGAAGATTTACCACCCTGACCCATGGGCTACCCTAGGATTGTGGCCTGGCGATCACAGGGCTGGAATCCAATCCCATGTTGATGTGATTTGAAATTGGGCACATCCCAGCCTCATGACTTCCTCTTCCCTTCAGTGACACTCACAAACAGTGTCCACAAGGGAAGCCTATGGCCATGTTTTGGTTGGCGGGAAGCATAAGCTTTGCCTGCATTCTTTTTCATCTCACTGGGGCTCTCATCTCCATCAGCATGCTCAGCCAGGCCCTATTTTGCTGTTTTGTTGGGCACATTCATTGTGTATGTCAGTATTATCCCTTATCGTGCTGGCTACTTCTCCAGCCTAGGAGGTGGCTGCTCCAGCTGCTTCTGTCTTTGGAGAATGAAATTTCTGGCAACGCATTATTGCTGCGACATTGCCAGAAGTTCCAGTGATTGACAGTGTTCTCGCACTGCATTTAACAACATATCTCCTGATTAATGAAGTCCGCCTTTGTCCCCCCACAGGCACAGAGGGTGCACAAGAAGTTTCCCAAACCCAGAAGAGCACACCACTCCTCCGAGAAGAGGCCTTGTTCCACTCCTTCACCCAACGCCACTGCCCCAAGCCATGCACCAGGCAGCAGCCAGCCGTCCTTGCACGACTGTCCAGTCCTGGGGCCCAGCCCAATAGGCCCATCTCTTGGACACCAGCAGGAATGTGCCAGACAAGCCAGCAGCAGCACCCCCAGCCCTCTCTGGTCTTTCCAGAGAAGCAAATCCTTGTTTTGCTTGCCCACTGGAGGCCCCTCTCTAGCCTCCTCAGCTGAACCTCAGTGGTTTTCAAGTACAGGTCCCCCAGGGCACAGAGCATCAGAGTGGAGGCCTGGCCACCTTGTCTCCGTCGATGACTTAGAGGGAGCTCAGGAGACAGATGTGGACACAGGCCTGCGGCTGTCCTCCTCCGACCTGTCTGTGGTTTCTGCGTATTCTGCACCCAGTAGGTTCTGCAACTTGGTGCAAACTTCTGGCCCCTCTGACAGATGCAGCAGCCACTGGCCAACACACAAGGGTCCCAGAGAAGGGCCACTACCCACTGCCAGCGGGGCGACCTCAGAGACCTCCTTAGCTTCCCGTCCCTTCTTCACCAAAGGGTGTCCCAACTCCTCAGAGACAGAGGTCACTGTTCCCCCAGCTCCCAGCACCTCCTTGCTCACAGAGTCATCCCCACAGCTCCCTTCTGAAGCTCCCAAAGTCCCACAGGCTGGCCAAGAAGGGCCACCACCCGAGTTGGCTGGGTCTGGGGATAATGACATGGAGGAGTTCTACATCTGAGCATTACTCGTCTTCTAAACACAGACACACAGTCTCGGGTCCCCAGTGTTCTCAGACCCGCTCCCCAGCTCCGTCTGGAACGTAATTGTCCGTTGTAACCATATTTGCCAGGGTACTCCTCCTTCGCTGAGAGGTGGGGTATTTCTAGAGATCTGATGGAAAAACACTGATGTTTTTATGCATATAAATTCTCAACAAGCTGAAGTCATAAATATATTTTTGAACACTCGATTATACAATTTAAATGCTTTGTAAAATTATTTGAAATGAATAGAAAACCTAGTCAGCCAGAGCTGATTTTTCAATTTTTTCATGCTGTGAAAGTGAAACAGTTAAAGCCAAAATGTTGAATGTGGGAAAGAAACCAAGTGACGTGTATGACAGATTAGGGCACAATGACAGAATGTATACCTTATTGGATTCTCCACGCATATTCACATTACCCAGGAATCGTGGCCCTAGGAATTTTCCAAGTCCTGCTTACAGTGGACAATCAGCAGGATAAAACAGCTGTCAACCCATATCAAACCCCAGAATGCCTTGCCTGGAAGTCATGCCACATGTGAGAATCGGGATTTACACCAACGGGATTTACACCAACGCGGCATTGACCACTTTGTAAGGAGTTAGCATGAGTCACAGACTCATGGTGCATTGAAAATACGAGTTAAGGTCCAAACGTAGGTTTGCATATGCCTTTTCAACAACACATTTGCTGTCGTGCTGCAGATCAGTCTCTCGGGGTTGATTTGGATCACGGAAGAGGACTTGTTCCTTTGAGCTAAAGTATAATGGGATATTAGGAAGACTGGGTAGACAGGCTTCAGTTCTTCAGTTTTAAAAAGCACAATCTAAGAGCTGCATACATACCTCTGCCAATGACAGGAACCACACTTATTCTGTGCTTTCCAGTACACATGCATGGATGGCCATACGTCCTGTGTTTCTCATTTTTAAGTAATTTGGAACATTTTAGCTGGCGTTTTGATTGCACACTTGAGCAAGTGCTCCCCCCTCCCAAAATGCTCTCTTGAATGAACACTGGTGCCATGCTAGCCTTCCAGGAGCACATGGGAACCTTAACTAAAGCTGGCGCTTTAGCCTGACATTGGCTTTCCTGTCTGTCATCTACTTCTGCCACAGTGTGAATGGTATTTAAATCCCCAGTAATGGTATGTTTACAACTTCAAAATCAGCAATGCTGAGTGCTGGCATTGGGGGCAATGCCAAGCTGTCCCTGGATGCTGTTTATCTTTGGGGAAGAAGAACATAGACCTGCGTTGTTCATCTTCCACCCTGGTGCTCCTTGCTTGAATTACTCATGGCCCAGTTTTCTGCTCTCTGAAAGTGCCCACACCAGCTCAGGCGTGGCCTCTAGCAGCCATTACCCATCGTCAGACTTGAGCTGCAACCTAAGGTCTGCCATCATTATAATGAGAGCCTTAGATTCCTGCTTCAAGCACCCTAAACTTCCCAGAATTTGAATTGTAATATTCTGCCCAATGTAAATAAATAAAAAACATGTTCTCTTCAAATTCTGGACCATGAATAAGCAAGCTTTTCCTGAAAAGGCCTAATAAAATGGCTAATAAAATGTTTTTAATGTGTTTTAAGCTCTTGTCAGTCTCTGTTACAACTGCTCCCATTGTAGCATGAAAAAAATAAATGGGAGTGGCTGAGTTTCAATAAAACTTTAATCATAAGAACAGGTGGTGGGCCAGTTTTGGGCTATGTGGTAGTTGGCCAGCCCTTGAGCTACACTACTGCCTCAGGTTGATTCAGGATTCCAGCCACAGTCAACAATGAAAATCTAAGTCTGCCCCAACTGCTGCTGTGGTGTGCAACACCAAGAAAATGGGCTTCTCAGGTCAAGCCAATGAATATAGAACCCTGTGGTGCTCAGAACAGTAGAGGGTCCTTTCTGCAGAGCCAATTCTTAGAAAGCTTCTAGCAGTCCACCGCCTGCCTGGAAATGTGGCTCAGAGTCAATAGCTGAGGGTGAAAAGCAGCATGCTGACATTAGAGAAGAGAAAATAATAATTTAGAGGTGATGACGTAGCCTCTAGGGAACGGGAACAAGCGTGACAGTTGAGGCAAAAACAAGTAGACCAACTGCTCGGTGATAGCTCCTGTGGTACTCCCATTTTAGTACTTTTGCCTGTCCCACTAGGATTGCTTTAAAGCCCAACCGGATGCTCCCTGCTCCTACCCTTTAAAAATGACCTGCCCTCCTCATAGTCCAGTCTACCAGACTAAGTGACCCCTAAGGATGTCAAAGACACCATTTGAAAGAAGCCATTGCAAATGAGCGCATAACACAAACAGAGAGGGGAAGGCAAGCCCAGTACAGCCACAGCCAGGCATTCCTGACCTGTCCTCAGGAGATGGCACTCATTCCATGGAGAAGGAATCACGTGGACACATTTAACAAGGACTTGGCTTCCATTTCTAGCATTTTCCTCATTCAGGAGGGCTCCTGACACCTACTAGTGAATCCTGACTCTTGGAGTATTATCCTTGAGATAGATGCTGCTGGCACACTATAGGTGCTTAATAAATGTGTTCAGTTGAGGTTGTCTCATAAATTATTCCTCTCCTAGACTAGGCTCTGTGGTGTAGGAAGTCTCCATTTTAGACCTAGGTCTGTCACTTAATGGAACCCAGTCTCTTGTTTCCTTGGTCTTGCACTCCCCTCCTCCCCAGCACTGCCTAGAGGGCCAGGTTAGTAAGGCCACCTATCCCTTACTTGCCTCTTTTCCAAGTTACTGCTCAGGGTCTCCCCTTGCCCTACACTAATCACTACCTTGTGTCTGCTTTAAAGATTGAATTCTCAATGTGTCCCTAACTAACCTGACAAGCCCTACAAAGATCATCTTAGGTCGCCTCAATTGGTTAAAATAAGCACCAGAAGAACTTGTGAGGGCTGGAGATGAGCTTCTGTGACAGTGGGAGGGTTGACATATGGTGGAACAAATTGGGTTTTACTGTTGACACTCCTTGAGTCCCAAGCCCCAAAGGGCAGGGAACATCACAGTGAATGCTTGATTGCACTGTCTAGGATGTCCCAGATAAGATCAGATGTTTACTTTTGGCAGGGAGACCCTTGATCACATAGCTGATGTCACTGACCCCAAGGAAATCAGGAGAAATGTGGGTTTTTTCCTACCCACCTCGTTCTGTATACAAATGAATTCTCCAATCTGTCAGCTAAGGGGTTCCTTAGACTTAGAATTCCAAGATTGTTAAGGGAAAATAAAACCAAACATGAAGGGTTGGAGATAGAGCTCAGTGGTAGATTGCTTGTCTAGCACACACAAGTTTGATCTTCAGAATGGTGTCAAACATGAGTTCTAGGCCACAGTGCCACATGCCTGTAACCAGCTACTCAGGAGGTAACAGTCAGGAGGATTGCAGTTCGAGGTCAGCAAAAACAGAATGTTTGTGAGACCTCCCATCTCAATCACTAAGCTGGGTGTGGTAGTGCATGCCTGCGGTCCGAGCTATGCAGGAGGCCATTGTAGAAGGATTGCAGTCTAAGGCAGGTCCTGGGTAAAAACCACAAGACCCTACCTGAAAAAATAGAGTACAAAAGCACTGGGGATGTGGCTCAAGTGGTAGAGTTCATGCCTAGCAAGTGCCAGGTCCTGAGTTCAAACTCCAGTAGCAGAAAAAAAACAACCCAGCTAATGAGTCCCAAGTCCAAATTTCAGGAGAGCAGTGGAAATATCTGGTCTCTCCACCACAGGCCCTGTTGCTCTGTGGGGCTGGTCTAGACATAAATGCCCCTTCTCATTTCTCAGGTTCCACTTCTCCTTATCTTCTGGAAAACAACTGACTGAACGCTGAAGAGGCTGTTTAGGATAGCAGAAAAGACAACATGAAAAAAAAAAAAAAGGATTCTCAGGCTGGCGGAGTGGCTCAAGTGGTAGAGCACCTGCCTAGCAAGCATGAGGCCCTGAGTTCAAACCCCAGTACCTCCAGAAAAAAAAAGGATTTTCAAGAAAAACACAATTTTGTCACAATTATAATATTATAACAGATGGATTTATGAGGTCTTAAGACCCACACATAAATATTATATGGATGGACCTTCTTCCAAGGTTCAAAAAAGGCTTTTTCTAATTTGGGGCATAGAGGTCTAGTTGCAAAATGGCTGTAAGTGGCATAATTTCTCTGATAAACATGAATGGTGGTGTCACCACACTTGGATCTTTGTAACACTCAATTTCTACCTTACAGGTGATGATAACTGTTGTCCAGTGATGTGCCATGATTATATTCATTACAAACAGAAGTCCCTATAACATTCGGTGAAGGTGAAAATGTCCTTTCCATGGCCCCGTGACACCCACTCTAGAGCAAAGCCCTCACCTCTAGATGCCTGGGATGGCGTAGAAAGATGGATCCTGCTCCACAGACCCCTCCCCCAGCCCTGTTGCAGGGGTGGAGGGGTTGGGGTGGGGGGAAGTTCCCAGCCCCCTGGAAACATTTGCAACCTTTATCTTCTAAGTTGAGTGTGTGAAAGAGGCAACATCGACTCCCTAAATCAGCTGTATCAGTCACTAGGTTTAAACCCAGAGTATTTTGGTTGGAGTCAGTCCAAATATGTTTGACAGCATCCAAGAAATGGCCAGCTGCACAAAACCACTTCCAAGTCAAATTGCATTGCTGGAGAGGGCTATGGGAAGGCTTTGGTGCCACCTGGTGGCACCTGGTGGCCGCTGTGCCCAGGAGGGTCAGTGACTGCCCTTTTTAATTAAGACTCCACATTTATAACCCCAATTTCATTTTCTATTTTGTTTACTTCTACAAAGTATTGAAGCAACTTAAATTACAATGAAATAAGACAATGTAAACAGAAATAGAAAATCAGAGCCAAGAAAAAGGAGCTAACTGCTGTAGTTGAATGTCCTGGAAGCCAAGGCAAAAAGGGAAAGGTGAGTAGCTTGTTGCTGTCCTTTAGGTCTAAGGACTCTAGTGGTGGTGTCTCATTTCATTTG